GGGACACTCTGTCACACAGATGAGTGGGGTTTTTTTTCCTTGTGTAAAACTTTGTCTGGTTTTATACATAGTAGAGCTTCTCTCTCTCTCTCTCTTTTTTTTTTTTTTTTTTTTGAGATGGAGTCTCACTCTGTTGCCCAGGCTGGAGTGCAGTGGTGTGATTCAGCTCATTGTAATCTCTGCCTCCTGGGTTCAAGTGATTCTCCTGCCTCCCTCCTGAGTAGCTGAGATTACAGGCACGTGCCACCACTTACTGGCTAATCTTTGTATTTTTAGTAGAGACGAGATTTCACCATGTTGGTCAGGCTGGTCTTGAACTCCTGACATTGTGATCCACCCACCTCGGCCTCCCAAAGTGCTGGGATTACAGGCATGAGCCACTGTGCCCCACTGGTATTATTTTTCCTTTAGCATAATAGTAACTCATTTTTCCTATATTATCGCATACTTTGTAAATACCAATTTTAACAGCAGGATGCTATTCCATTGTTCTGAATTTGCTTCTCCACATTGAAAGTGCTTGTTTTGCAAAGGATTTTTCTTAGCTCTATTTACAGGACAGAATTGTCTGTATTTGCTTCCCCCTAACACATCATGTTTGTCTCTAAACTTTATTATTATTATTGTTTACTAGTCATCTTTTATTTGGAGGTTTATTTTCATTTGGGTATAAAAGATTCAGCAATGATCACATTCCTCATGGAGGGGTTCTGGGCCAAGGAGGTCATGGTCAGGAGTGCAGAGTGTGCTCTCCACACTGGCCCCTCCTCAGTGGTACTTATGTTTGAGCTCCTTATAAGAAAGGCAGTGGCCAAAAGGCACATAAGCTGCCAGCACCATGGAAACCCTGGCGACACTCCCCTTTTTCATGTTGTCATGCTTGTATTTAATAGTATCTGTGGTAACCTCTTTGAAATGCTTCAACAATGCCTTTGGTGGTAAAATCAGTATCCAGCTTGGCAGCTCCCCTAATTTGACATCCATGAGTTTCTTCTTCACTGGTATGACTGATGCCATTGTGGAGTCCTGGTGTCTGCTGTCTCTAAACTTTAAATGATTGCTCTCAAACCACTTACCAGTCTATGTTT